CAGGGAGTTTGGTCCATATTGACATGATGGCATCACACAGTTGCCGCAGATTTGTCGGCTGCACATCCATGATGCGTATCTCCCGTTCCACCACATCCCAAAGATGCTCTATTGGGTTGAGATCTGGTGACTGTGGAGGCCATTTTAGTACAGTGAACTCATTGTCATGTTCAAGAAACCAATTTGAAATGATTAGAGCTTTGTGACATGGTGGAAGTAGCCATCAGAGGATGGGTACATGGTGGCCATAAAGGGATGGACATGGTCAGAAACAATGCTCAGGTAGGCCGTGGCATTTAAACGATGCCCAATTGGCACTAAGGGGCCTAAAGTGTGCCAGGAAAACATCCCCCACACCATTACACCACCACCACCAGCCTGCACAGTGGTAACAAGGCATGATGGTTCCATGTTCTCATTCTGTTTACGCCAAATTCTGACTCTACCATCTGAATGTCTCAACAGAAATCGAGACTCATCAGACCAGGCAACATTTTTCCAGTCTTCAACTGTTCAATTTTGGTGAGCTCTTGCAAATTGTAGCCTCTTTTTCCTATTTGTAGTGGAGATGAGTGGTACCCGGTGGAGTCTTCTGCTGTTGTAGCCCATCCGCCTCAAGGTTGTGCGTGTTGTGGCTTCACAAATGCTTTGCTGCATACCTCGGTTGTAACGAGTGGTTATTTCAGTCACTGTTGCCCTTCTATCAGCTCGAACCAGTCTGGCCATTCTCCTCTGACCTCTGGCATCAACAAGGCATTTCCGCCCACAGAACTGCCGCTCACTGGATGTTTTTTCTTTTTCGGACCATTCTCTGTAAACCCTAGAGATGGTTGTGCGTGAAAATCCCAGTAGATTAGCAGTTTCTGAAATACTCAGACCAGCCCTTCTGGCACCAACAATCATGCCACGTTCAAAGTCACTCAAATCACCTTTCTTCCCCATACTGATGCTCGGTTTGAACTGCAGGAGATTGTCTTGACCATGTCTACATGCCTAAATGCACTGAGTTGCCGCCATGTGATTGGCTGCTTAGAAATTAAGTGTTAACGAGCAGTTGGACAGGTGTACCTAATAAAGTGGCCGGTGAGTGTACTTCTCAACCTTACATCCAATGACTCAGACTATAGAAATTATGAAAAGATGCGATGGAGTTCCAATCGGCTAGAGACATAATTACCCTCAGACTCACGTTCATTCTGGCTCATCAAGGGCTAAGATAGATTAGAAATATACTGCACTTCACCATCTGCGTGCTACAGGACTGCTGTTAATGAGACACGTCTGTTATGTATTTTGTATTGTGAGAAACTTGGGAGAAAATGATTCGGTAAAGCCCACAATGGAATCATTCCTGCTTACCATGACCCTTCTTGCTGCAACCACCACCATCACTTGCTATCAGTCACGAGTGGAGCACTGGGGTCATTGGCTGCACACAGAGACATGTATCAGGCTAATTGCTGTGACGCCAGTTTGCGAGGCGGCAGGGAAGGACATGCAATTATGTTGCACTGCAACCATAATTGATGGACAATTACGTTAGGTGAATTGCGAATTGTTACTTTTTTCTTCAGGTGGAGTAGCTATAGCCTGAAAATAGCCTATTTTTTTAATGGTAAGGTTGCCTACATTAATGAGGTCTGGGTACTTACAATCTCTGTCTGAAGTAGCGTGGACATATTGGTTTTTGGGATAGCTCTCGCTGTTAATTAACTCTAAAATCTACGGTCTAAAATTAAGTCCAATTCTTTGGTTAAGTCTGAGCATTGCAAACAAAACGAGCCTTCGACATGACGCTGAGAGTGCTGAGTTCATGATTATCCACTGCGCTGACTCTCGGAAGAATTCTAACAAACGTCTGCCCTCTGCTGGTGAGTGTGAGGAGAACTATCTCACGTCTCCCCAGAGCACACGGCGCCAATGCAGTCAGCATCGGTATGGCATAGGGCTGAGCGAGACTAATGCTGCGTCCCAATTAGCCTAATACTAAAAGTATGTACTCTTTTTGTGAAGAAAATATATATTATAATTATTAAATATTTTCTAACAATATAAATCTTTACTGTCACTTTTTTTTGTATCAATTTGACACATCTCTACTGAATTTTAAATAAAGACAAAAAAAAAAAAATGACAGACCCCAAACTTTTGACCGGTAGTGTAGGCCTATATTGTTACAAAAGATTTCTATTTTGATTTCTAATTCTTTTTTTCTTTTTATTCATGTATGAATCCTAAAAAAAAGTATCACAAGTTATATAAAAAAAAAACTATTAAGCAGCACAGCTGTTTCCAACATTGATAATAAATCAGCATATTTGACTGATTTCTGAAGGATCACTGAAGACTGGAGTAGCCTAATGGCTGAGTCAGCGTTGCATCACAGAAATAAACTATATTTTAAAGTATATTCAAATAGAAAACCATTGTTTTAAATTGTAATGATATTTCACAATATTACTGTTTTTTTTGGTCAAATACATGCAGGCTTGAGGAGCATAAGAGACTTCTTTGAAAAACATTAAAAATAGTAATGTTTCCAAACTTTTTCCTGGTAATGTATGTATAACAGAATCATGTGAAATTATTCATATTTAAAAACATTTTTTTGCTATTGTTTTACTTATGAGCCATGTAGATAAACATGATTGGTGGGAAATCCTGAGGGATAGCCAATTCCATCATGGATGAGGTCGTACAAAACATATTGCATACAGATGTTATTGTTCCTAAATCAAATCTTAAAAGATGTCAGCCAACACTATATAAATGCACTATTACATGATAAATGTATGGGTCAGAAAAGTCTGAGGTCAAAAGTGATTCAATTTATTTATTTTAAAACTCTAATCTAGTGTTTCTCATCTGGGATAATTTATAGGCTGAGGTTTGTTTGTCTAACCACTGTTGATGAATAAAACGTTTAAATGAAAAAGAGAAGAACATAAACATTGGGTTGAAAATTTCTTCCACACACTTTTTTTTTTTATTTGGAAATAATAAAAATTAACTTTTTTCTTTTTCTTTTAAATATAAAACATACACATCATATGAGCCACACCTTGTATACAAACAGAAATGTTGCAGTGAATACTTTTTCTTTTTCATCATCTCAGTGAAACACATACTAGAAGTTGTAAACAGTCAGCATTGTTTTCCCCTCTACTCAATAATACTGATCAAGTAAAATAAAACCTGTCTCTCATGAATAAAAACAATCTTTTTTTTCTGATTTCGTGTTCATAGCAGAGGTGAAGAATTTGGCTCGAAAGCACAGATAAAATGACGATCTGGCTACAGCTTCAGAGCGGAGTGGTTCGGCCCTCTAAAAGTGACAGTGAGAGCTCTAGATTTGGACCCATATGATAAGAAAGGTGTCCGCTCAGCGGTCCCGTATTGGGATGGTTGTTCTCAAAAGTAAGCCTAGGCCCCTTTGCAAATATGGCTTAACCACATGGTTATCTCATATTTACAACACATGCGCTAATTACTCTCTGTGCATCTACATTTATATTTAACATGTATACGGTTATGTATGTATGATATATTTTTGACATTTCCTGTTTTGATATCGGTATACTCTTGAATAACTTGATGGGATGTATACACATTTTATAGGTTAATTTCTGTGGTTTTGAGGTAAATTATGATTCAGTAAAATCTGTAAAACAGGAAGGAGGTTAGCTTTTGTTCAGTGTTACAGTACAGCACATTTCCCCAAAGGTATATAAAAGACTAAAAATAAATGTTGCAACATTCAGCACCGAATGGAGGACATGGACTATTTTTTTTTTTAGCTGATCTGAAAAGTCTGAGTGAAAGCAAATGGCTTCTTTTTCTTGGTTTATCTCTTATATTCAAGTACAAGCAAACTGTACAGTACATGCAACATACAAGCGGGCCTACAGTATGTTGAACTAACACATATCTATTTCTGTTACTTTTTAACATTTGTGTAGTCTGTTTTACAAAAATGTGCATGCAGCTGGGAACTGATCCGAGTCATGCTGCTCCACTGCACTGGAGGGAGGGGCCAGTGGCCTGATAGATGATTGGTGTTTATGTTTGTGATGGCAAAATCTGATTGGTCACTTCAACATTTACAGAGACACACAAGAGGAATTCGCATTTTTTTTTCTCATCTCATTTAAAAATCAAGCTTTTGTGCTTGCATTATTCATTTAAAATAAATACATATGTGCAAGGGCTTGTTGAAGAGTTTGAGTCAATCGTGTGACCTCAGGGTGGTATAAGTTGAAAGTGGCTTTTGCTAAACCATATATATTAAAAAGGAAAATGTACGTTTACCCAATCACTTACTATTAAACAAATTAAAAAAGTTACGTTTAGTGTCCAAAAAACTCTGGGTATCAAGATTTACTCAATAGATGAAAACATAATTGTATATATTTCTTTTACCAAAGACCCTAAATTAGAAAACTTACATGTACACACATATGTTTACCTTGGTACATAGTGTTTTTTCATGAACTAAATATATACTTTTTAATAGCATTTAATGATAAGTGTAAATACCTACAAATCAGATTGAATTCACTGAATAAGATGATGTATGCAATGTACTGTAGGATAATGTAATCGTTTCAGTTAACAGTAAATAAAAATGTATACTGTGCAAAGATATGTGTATTTTTCCAGATACGTTGTCTTCAATCTCTTTTTTAGCATTTCTTGTCATTTTTACAGCACACTGGACAACACAAACCTCTTGATTTTCACAAAAAATGTGCCAGAGATGTTAAAAATAAATAAATAAAACTAAACAAATATAAAATAACTTCTAGAAGAGAGTGGCCTCTGCTAGCTGTCACAAGCATTGACAACAGAGGAACTTTTTGGAGGATATGAACCATGGCTTTGGGTCCTCCAGGTTTAGGCACCAAGAAAGGCCCTGCCCTTCCAGACAACTTCCCCAGGGGACACCCTACGTCTTTCTAGTGGCTGACCTTTGACTTTCAGTACAAACAGGGTTTAGACAAGACAATCCCTTGGTCAGAGGTCACCTTTGTTTTTGGGCTGATACATTCTGATGCTCTGTTAAAAACTAGCTAACGTACATTTCTTTAATGTAGACTTGACAGAATATCACCCTACTTTCTATGTCACCCTAAAGCGGTGCTTCCCACGTGCTAGTGTGCTAGACAGCACTAAGTCTCACGCAACAAACAGTGAGAGAAACAAACAAATTCGGCAGAACAGGTGCTACCCACAAAGAGGAAAACATAAAAACAAAGTCACAGGAGTGATTGTCAGATTTTAACAAAGCTTTGTGTCATTTCATCGCATTTTCTGCCTGGCTCTTATCTTGTTGTCTCTCAGCTTGTATTGACTGTGCTTTATATTGTTAGTCCACTACGATCGAACTCCCGCAGGTGCCGGTGAATTGTCCAGGGATGTCTGAGAAGCACGTCGAGTTATAGAGGCAAGAGTTGGGTCGACGAGGGAAGAAGGCGGGAAAAGTTTGTACCAGCCAATGACATTGCTGGAGAGGTCCAGCTCCTCTAGTAGGATTTGTGCAACTCCCATGAAGGATTTGTGGTCCATTCGCCCATAATCTCCCCAGACAATTACCTAATAGGATGAAATCAACAGTTTGTTTATTGATTCATCAGTGGATGGAACTCTCAGGTCACATAATCAAAGTTAATAATATCTAATCTCAACAATGTGATCTTTTTAAACTAGACAATTGTCTTTTTCATGCAGCCCTTGTGGGCTTCAATGACATTTTCTCACAGAAATTTTGTTCAACTGCCTCATCAAGTGGATAGAATCTGCAAAAAATAAATTAAACGTAGAAAAAAGACAAAAAAGCCACATGACTCACTTGTAACACTTTACCCTGCGGACTTTCTTCAAACTGCAGTGCTTGCTGGTACAGCGGGTCGAGTGTCTTGCGTGCAATTTTTGTCTTCTTCTTAGCTACATATGCCCCATTGTGTAGAAGATAGACTTTGACATATGGAGCTATGATTGAACATAATGGATCAAATTAGGCAGGTATCAACACAATGTATACTACTGACATTACTGAACATATCAAGTATGACTAGCTCTGGCAAATTTGTCTGTTTTCTGTATCACCTAGAACTGCTTGATGAGTTATGAGTAATATGATACTATACATTTGGAGTTTGAATCACAAGCTGTGAGTTCAGAATACATCAGAAAGGACTCACCAGGGAGTGATTTGGATCCTGGTTTTTGGATGAGACCTCGTGCTCTTATCACCTCCACCTCCAGCTGGCCTTTCTTATTCACCATGCCAATCTGAATGTCACCTGGACATCACAGAATATGCAAAGGAAACCAAAATTGGCCATTTTATTTAAACGGTACATTTGCTTAATGGATTTATTCAAATGGTTCATGCAAAAACATTATTTGACATTATTTCCCAAGGCAGTTACCTTTTGTATTTTGTCAGTAAATTAGGACTGTAATTTACTGTATTTAGTACAAATATAGAAAAAAAACTATACAACTAGAATACAACATAACTGTTTTTAACTTGACACAAGTCTTGAAAAGAGACGCTAAAAACAGTGTGACATAATACAGTGGTAAATGATGTCCATATGACAAGACTGATGATTAAAAAATGGCAGACGGATCACTGAAACGCATCCAATATGAACCGTCTCTAAGTCTATCTTATACAGAACTTGATTGCTAAATGATTTGCTATGAACTGTTGGCCAGCTTATGTTCAATTATATGAAAAATAAAGTAAATTCTAAAGCATGTACAGTATTGTCTTTTCATTTGTCTGCTTCGATAACATAATGGGTGAAATTGTATTGGTTCTTCGCTAATTTTTATATACAGTATGCAGTTACTTGTGTAGTTGATCAAATTAATCACAATCAGTTGCATATAACTGAATAAAAAATGGTAAACAATTGACAGCAAATGGGATAAGGATAGGATGCTACAAGGGAGAAAGGTTAAAAAAAAAAAGATTTAAAAAAAATCACAAAGAAGAAAATCTTACCAATTGCTGGTGTGGCTAGGGTTTGTCGACCAACTAGTTGAGCAGGGCCCAGTCCATCCAGGAAGTCACTGAACTGAGTCTCGACTCGAACGGCTGGAAATATTGGACTGACAAAGACAAACATTGTAATAAAAAAAGGTGTTGCAGGTGTTGTTCTTTTACTGACTTATAGTAGATTCATAAAAGAAAAAAATCTAGTAACGAGATCAATTTCTTTTGAATTGGTCTCTTTAAAATGATCAATGTATCCAAAGTATGTGGGTTTGTATTCAGGGATGGTGTTCCCACAACCCGAAAGTCTTTTTGAAGCATGTTTACATGTTTATCCATAATGGCAATGCCTGACTGACTGTTGTTTGGATAAAAGGAACCGCACTTAATGAGGCTGCTATTTCTAGAAAATAATAATCCCGGTTTAAGATGGGACATTTCAGAATGGAAAAAAATATGGAAAATGTAAAATTATTTTGGATCATTGTAAATACAGGAACAGGAAATTGCTCCAACTGACCCCTGCTTTTGGGACAGACATATACATACAAGAACTGGCAATTGGTATGAAAAGATAACAAGAACAAATTTTTCCATGTTGTTTTAGAGAATGCGTAACAGATGTTTAAAGAAGTGCGTGACCAATGCAGTGCCAATCTTGTTATCATGGGTGGAAGTGCTGCATTTAAAAAATTACAAAATATATTCGAATAAAGCAACGAGAAGGAAACTTACCTGCCCTCTGAGTTGTAGCTGTTCATGCTTCCGTTGTTGGATTCTCGGCTGGGTTGACGACTCATATTCCTCTGCAATTCCACAGCCATTCCCGTCTCCTGACTGCGCTGGATTGTCCCTTGACTGCCCTTCGACTTCTTATTGGATGCCTCTGAAGAAGGACAGATTCCACAAACAATAAAGAAATGTACTTTTAAGACTTTTAAGAGAAGTTTGTATCACTCATTTGGAGAGAAAAAAAAGAAAAATCTGTATCTCTCCTACATGATTGTCTGTGATTTAATTTTTAAAGAGTTCAATGAGATCAATGTCCTTTCTAAACAATTCCGGTCAAGCTGCACACTATCTTTTTAACATGCTACATCCTTTTGGATGTTTGAATCAGACAGCAAAATAATTTGACAGTGCTTGTAGCTCCCACCGGAATGAGAGCTAACCGTCCTGCGTTAACCACCCCTTTATCTGTCTTAAAACGGGGGGGGGGGGGGAAGACTCATGTCTCCTCCTAAGTCACTTTTGTCTTACATAAAACAGAGAGAATAAAATGCAGATCCCCCGCAGGTCTTACGACTCCTCTAATGTGCTTTCAAGACTTTTTCAAAAGAAACAGGCTCTGTGGTAGTGGCATGAGTCGCCTGATGGAAAGTCTTATTATACCAAACAATGCAGAGTCAGTCCTGACATCTGAAAGTACTAAAATGGCCACAGGTGCCCCTTTTGAAAAGATGCTATTCAGGTTTGATGAGGACAAACAAACCATAGCTAAAGCATACATTTGAACTCGTAGCAGGATACTGATCAAAGGCTGAAACAGGAGAAGTAGGCTTAATGTTTATGACACTGCATTTTGTGTGTCCTCTTGTTTTGTCTAGTGAAAACACTTTAACAACCTCTTAGGACAAACACACACTAATTTTTTTTATTTTTTTTTATGTCAGGTAGCCTAAAAAAACATCTAAACAAACCTTTTTAATTGAAGTACATTTTGGGGACTTTTAGATTTTTAAAGTTTTTTTGTTTTTTTTTCTCGAAGAAGTCACTTATGTTTACCAAGGCTGTTTATTTGATCAAAATACAGTAATTTTATGAAATATTATTACAATTTTAAGTATATCTGTTTTCTATTGTTATATCCTGTGATGGCAAAGCTGAATTTTTAGCAGCTATTACTCCTTCAGTCTTCAGTGTCACATGATCCTTTAGAAATCATTCTAATATCCAGACTTGGTGCTCAAGAAATATTTCTTATTATTATGTTTTTTTATACAACAGTTGTACTACTTAATATTTGTGTGGATTTATTTCTGGATTCTTTGATAAATAAAAGTGTGAAATATTGAAATGGAAATTTTTGTATCATTGTAAATGTCTTAACTGTCACTTTTAATAAATGTAACGCATCCTTGCTGGATAAAAGTATTATTTTCTTTCAAAGACAAAACAAAACAAAGAAAACAGTTGTGTAGATTATACCAAAATACAACTAATTTTTAAGGGTCAAATCAGTGCCGAGAGCTGACAATTGCCTGTTACTTCTTTTTACAGTGTATTTATTGTTTGAGAAAAAATATAAGAATAAAATCTCTCATTTTAATTTACGTCAAATTTAAATAGGGAATTAAAAAAGATTTACAATAAAAATAACATAAAACTCATGTTTTTAATTTCTGTAAATAAATATTCAGCAAAAAAATCATTTGGTTTGTGGTATTATTGGTTAATATAACTTTTGGCCTTGGTTAGATCAGCAGAAAGTAGCAGTTTCAAGGTTTGTTGTCACACAATTATTGTGTTATAGACAGCTACAGATGCAGAACTTGATTTCAACAAGTGCAACATGTTCCTGGATCAATATCTTTGTTGATCCTGGAACAGCATTCCAATCAATCAATCAGATTTGAGAGACAAGATTACAGTTTATCTTAAGTTTAGGCTTACAACCAGGGTTAGGTGCTTCTACATAAGTGTTATTCACCAATCATTTTTCTCCGATTTTAGGGATAACTTGTGGATAGGGTTAGGTTTAGGGGTAGGGATATGGTTAGGATTACATTTTCAGACAGGAATGTTGTTCCAGGATCAACAAAATATGTTGACACAGGAACGAGTCTGACTCAGCAAAATCAGGATGTGCGCTAAAGACACTGACCCGTTTGACTGATCTGTGAGGTGCTTCGGCTGCGGCGGTTTCCCACAATAGCCACGAATCGAGCATTGAGGCTGGAGCGACGCTTTTTAGCTCCGGTCCCGACTGTTCCCAGAGCAGTGTCAGACTGGCTGCCGTCTGTTCGCTCTGATGTATTAATGTCACCGCTAACACTTGTGCTCTTTAGCATATTCCGACCAGATGAGGCTCTGACTTGACGACTGTAAGCAAGAGAAAGAGTAAAAGAGAGATGAATAGTTGAGACAAATCAGTTGATACATAAAGGTAAGAGAGAGACACTAACTGTTGAAAACCATATTCAAGATCTTAATGCTTTATTATTTGTACACTGCTAAAACAGCTTACAAACCACATCACTGATTCTAATCGAAGCACAAAATAATACCTGGTTTTGTCCAATCAAATTATTTTGCACAAGCCAGTATGGAAGAGAGAATGTTCAAAATCTGTTTTTGGACAATATCATCTGCTTCTCTACATAAAATTAGACTGAATCATGACAAAGTAGTCAAAACTAGTCAACGCTAGTTATGACATCACTTGACAAGCACAGTTTTAGTTCCCGTGTTTTTCCTGAGTTTGAGTGAGACAGAAAAAAAAAAAAAAAAACTTTTTAAAAATAGCTAATAGCCTTTCGTTGATGTCATGAATCGTGATTTGCTATTTTTTTGCAGGTGGAATAGTATAAGTACCGAAAGTAAAAATATTCATTTTCTGCATAGGGGAACTGATTTTAAATGGTAATTTCTAAACATTTAAAAGACAGACTAACTGCAAGCTATGAGGTTGTTAATCAATGATATATGCTTTTGTTGAAGCCATCATCCTGCATTATTTCAATTTTCAACATATTTTTACACAATCAAGTTCAGCAGGGTAATTACTGGTGAAAAACTACACAACCCATAATTCTGCAGAAATCTCCACCAATCAGAGAATCAAATTGCTCTCATGAAGCACTCTTAAACTACTTAAATGTTTGTATGCATAAAATGCACATTTTGCAATACACCTAATTGTTTCTACAATTAACTACAATCCCATTTGCAATGCTTCATGGGATTGTAGTTCTTTCCCTCACTGAAGCTGTTAAGTACACAGTCTCGCACCTTTGTATTTTTGTCTGATTTTCAAACTATATTTTGTTTCAAATCAAAGATTATAAACAAAAGATTATTGGTATACCTTGTAGATGGTTGGTTTGATTCATGATTATATATCAGAAGATTATTAAACTTCAGAAGAAATAAGTAAACTTTTTTTTTTTTTATCCCTATGGGAAAAATACTGGGGTAGGGACATTCTCATTCTTCTGGAAAGTATTTGATTGGACAAAAATTTAATCAATATCAGTATTCTGATTTGTTTTCCTGGAAGAGTTTAAAAGTGTAGACCTACTTAAAGTGAATTGTGTTTGGAAGTACACTAGTTAACACAAAGTCCCTAAAAGCCACACAGTTTTGATTCATGAAATCCTTAAAACTTGATTTACATCTGATTTAACAGAATTGTGTTAATTAAAAAACAACATCTTCAGATCAGTAGTTCAAACTGTCTGTATTATGACACAGCAGCACACTTTGACAGTGCAGCCATGTCCTTTGCTGCCCCCTGGGGGCTCGGAGGAGCTGCCGTACGTCTGCACCCTCTGACGGTGTCAAGGTACTGCAGGACTGTCCAGTTGCACTCTCCCCATCATGTCTATACCCTAATCCCCTGTCTGTAGAATGTAGGGTGGGGATAGGAAGTAAGGAGGTAGGTCTCTCTTCCACAGGCTGGAGGGCAGTGCCAGTGACAGAGGGGTAGGCAGACAGGGTTCTGGGTTTAGGAAGATCCAGTGCTGGCTCAGTATTCAAGCATGGGAGATATGAGGTGAGGCATGCAAAGAGGGATCTAATACACACAATACACAGGACACACATAGACACACACAGAGTGGCATGTGAATAAGCAAAACAAATAAATGATACAAATGAAATCAAACACAGCATGCACAATTAACCATGTCTCAAACTATATGTAGTGTACAGGATCATTTTAAGACAGCAGAAAGGAATATTCCAATAAAATATGAATAGTTGGTAAAAGTTAAGGTATTAAGGTATACTTGACGCATAACATGCACATACGTTTTTTTTAACATCAACATTTTAAATTCATATGGATGTACAAGGGGATAGTAAATATTTTAGAAATACAACTGGTCAACATTTCTTTTAAGTTTTACGCCACTTTTTGTCTTCACTGACTCAACTCAGCTATTGATCATAGTCAACTTATATGTAATAAAAGTTGCATGCATTATAATTATAAAGAATTAGCTTAAAAATAAAATTCACACACATTCAATCACATCGCACACGTCAATGCCACCCAAAAATATTTCATGTTAACTATGTTTGTTTGAACTAAGTAGACAGTGACACCAAACTGATTTGGCTTAAAACTGATATATAAAAAAATTAAATAAATGATGAAGATATATAACTGGTTAGTAAAAACCGAAACGGGTTAGGAAAGAGACAAGAATAGACAGAAAAGATAGAAAGTTAATTTAAGGCTTTTAATGATATATGTACAAGCTCTGTTTGAGGAGAAGGAATGCTTTTATCCTCTTTTCATTTTTTTCCTTGTCATTGCCTCCTTTCTATGTAAATTAGTCTTATTATAGAAAAAAGTATATGTTTTTTAACGTTGCAATATTACCACGTATGGCATGCAGGTGCTACTGTAAATGGAATTTGTTTATTTTGTACATTTCAACTGATCATGGCAGCAGTGATTCATCAATTGAGAATCGAAAGCTTGTGAAGAACTCTATAACTGGGCATATGTCCAGATATGTGGTGTAGTCGAGCATGCTTTTTGCATTTTAAAGAGCCGACTACGGTGTCTGGATCACTGGGATCATTAAGTCCCAGTGAAGTATGACAGATTGCAATAGTTTGCCAGCTTTAGATGAGGAAGATCATATATACATTTTCTGGGTGCTGCTTACTCGATTTGCATAGTTCATTTAGCAAATAAGACGGTAAAACAATGCAGAATGTGCATAAAAATAAAAAGCACTCCGCAGAAATAAGATAAGATTGCTCAATTCTAGATGTTGTTTTTGTTGTTGTTTCTGGTATTAGCTAATGATAAAGTTTTATCTGGTGGTGGTTGAGGTGAAGACATGGGCAGGGGGAGCTGGTCCATGTTACCTCATATCTCCAGCCACCGTATGACGTCTACGTTTAAGCTCCTCAGAGAAACGTCTCTTTCCCAGACTCCTTCTGTTGTCTGTTCCATTCACCCCCCATGAAATCCTTCTCTCCTTCTTCTCTTCTCCTTTACAACTCTCCAACGACTTTGACCTTTGACCCCCAATGCAATATGCATTCATGCAATAGAGCACAAGTCGTAATAGAAAGAAAGGTAAATCATGCAGAAAATAAAAATGTTTCAAAAGTAACAAGCCATGCATAAGACAGACAGCTAAAAGCATGCAAATGTCAAACGACTAATAACAAAAATGAAATATCACTACCTGAGGACACATAATTTTTTTGTGACCTGAATTGAATAATTACTGCTAGTATAGAATAATTTAGCAATTTTACTAGTGACAAATGTTATGATTTGTAGGAGAGGGAATACATAAGCATTGCAAGTGAACAACAATATAATTTAATGTGACAGAACATATTATGATTTTTCAGAGTATGGAAAATTAGCAGAGAGCTAAAGAAAGAGAGAGTAAAAAGTTGAAAAACTATTTTGTAGCTATTAAAAAATATATATTTTGTACTATTTTTTCATTGGTGTGCATGGTACAAAATCAACTTTTGCTCCAACTTCCAATGAAGAGTTAATCAGGAATTTTTTTTAAAGGTCATAACTATATTTATGCATTTTTATATATCTATATTATTTTCATTAGGGTATGCAAGATTTTTGTAATGTTTTTGAAAGAAGCCTCTTATGCTCACTAAGGCTGCATTTATTTTATTTACATTTAAAATGGCGGTTTTCTACGGAAATACATTTTAAAATGTAATTTATTCCTGTGATGTCAAAGCTGAATTTTCAGCAGCCATTACTTCAGTCTTCATCATCTTTCAGCTATCATGATCATTAGAAATCATGCTAATATGCTGATGTGGTACTGTTAAGTAACATTTCTTTTTATTATTATCAGAGTTAAAGCTTTGCTGATTAATATTTTTTGTGGAAATATCAAAGGAACAACATTGTAAAAAGTATTTACTGTCAATTTTGATCAATTTAATGAATAAAAAATAATACAAAATATTAAGATATATATATATATATATATATATATATATATATATATATATATAAATATATATAAAATATATAAATATATAATAATAATATATATAAATATATATAAAATATATAAATATATAATAATAATATATAATAATATAAATATAAAATATATAATAAGAAATATTAATTTCTAAAAAAAAATTTTTTACACCAAACTTCCAAATACTTTCATAAATATATATATATATATATATACAGTATAATCGGATACATATTCTGTGTTTTGCTGCAAAAGCATTTTAGGCATGCTATAAACTTCTAGTCATTAAAATACTTTTACTTTTTGAGGGTTTATAAGTCTGATTGCTTATAACAATGACGGTCACACTATTATTCTTACACTTTGACTTAAACCATGTACAATGTTGCATTTTCTAATAATAACTGCAAATTAACTCCAACATTAGCCATTTCTACGCAGTACTTTCCAAGTGTTAAATGTGGACCCTGTGTGTTTGTTTCTGTGCATGTTTATTGGCTAACCTTATTCTCCCATGCGGCCTCTCAGACTGACTGGACATATAGCTGGTGGCGCTCAGCCGTGAGGCACTGCTGGCATGGGAGATGGCTGAAGCATCGCTCATGTCGCTGTCTGATGACCTCGCAGACATGTTATCACAACTCCTCCTCTGGTCTTTATACATCTAAACCATGGAAAACAACAAATATTTAGAACCCTTTTTAAAAACAATAAAACTTACAAAAAGGAATGTGGGCGAAGAATTAAATTTTGTGAAGAATTATTTAACCATCAACCAGCACTGCCAGACAAATGAGTTGGAGACCTAAAAGCCAGTTTAAGACTCACATCTCTCCTGTTCTTGAGGTCTGCCTCTGGGTCGTGACCAAAGCTTGTAGAAGAGCCCGGCCGATAGGAGGGCACTCTCATCTGCAACTGACGAGCCCGCTCCTCCACTGCTAGTGCTACAATGAGACAGTGAGGAATTTTTGAGGAAATTATACATTTGATGGAAATGCACAATAAATATTCCCTGCTTGAAAAGACAGCTTACGGCAAAACACTACAGTCAAAACCATTGTTCTTTCATGCACTCAATTTTGAGATTTTGGGATATATTGCTTCCATAACAACACAACGTCTTCTTCTTCTAGTGGAAAGAAAACATCCAAAATACTGAAAGTGTTTATTTTATTACACTTTATCTATTTGCTATTTATCTTTAAAGGCTTTTTTTCTTAAAATGAGTTTTTTCTCTCACAGTGAACCAGAACATTTTACTACAGTAGCACTTACATGCAACAAAAGTTCCAGTTTTATTCTTATCTATATTCTGAAGGTTCCCTTTCGAAGTGGAACTCAAATCTGTGTTATGGAGTTGACGTTATTGGGACACTCCGCATGAGCTGGTGTCTGAAGCATGTATGTTACCCACCAAACTTGATTTGCTACCACAGTGATGTCACAGGCATGCCGGCAGGGTATATGCTGGCACCTAGTCATCAGCTTCTTTGTAGGAAGCCATATGTTTGTCTGTGTGTGTAAAGATTATCTGTGTGTTTGCGGTTAGGAGAAAAAAATATGTCTAGTGCATTTAGGAGATGTGTCACAAAGATATATAACACTAAAACTAACACACTATTCTCACAATCTGTGTGTAATATGTCTTGAAATGGAGTACGCTCAGTCAGCCCTCAAGGGGGCTGGTTGTAGTCATTGTGTTCACTTCACAGTGAGAAAGTTCCGGTCCCACACGGCTCTTTTCATCCGATCTACCTGGATTGGTAGCTTTTCAAGTTTTGCTCCCTGTGCATTGGGTCCCGCCACTGCCGAGGCAACACAGCGACTTTGACCGTGGGGGTCACAGGTTGAGCTAGCTGAGTAGCTTGAGACATGTCTATCCCTTTATCAAACATCATTCACTACCTCTCCAGCTCTCAGGCCAGATCTGAAAGCCCTCTTTGCGGCTTCTTCGGACCTGGCAGAGAGCATGTTGCTGACATGAGGAACTGTTGAGATGGACATGCTGAGTGACTCTATCTCCTCCCTCACCCCCACATATGAGGATCTGGTCGATGTAATGACCCGCACCACGGCCAAATTAAAGCTAGAGTGGTCAGTGGAGGGGGAGGAATCCGCACCAGGTAGATAGGATGAGCGATTTCTCACAGGTCATAACAAGCGCAACTGTGAGCCTTCTCTTCCTTCCCAATTTCTATAATGAGGTGGTGAGATTGTGCAACAAACCATTCTCTTCCTGTGTTCACAGCCCACTTGTAAACAGATACGCTAATATGAAGGGGCTTGCTGAACGTGGTTATACGAGGATGCCACGGGTTGAAAATTCGCTTGTGAGCTATCTCGTCCCCGGTGCAGCGTATCCATGCCCGATATCGAGGCTTATGTGGTGGCGGGCCAGGAATGTGGAGATTTGCACACCATGTCGGTCCTGCAAGCTTACCAAGCTGACCTACTCAAGGATCTCAACCTAGGTGGAGTATCTCAGAAGGCATATGCACCACATCCCCAGCCACAGTCGAGGTTCTACATCCCCCTCTTCTGACCCTGTTGCTGACCCTAGCTGGAGACAAGGTCAGGAGGAGAGCGTCACTGGGGGCTCGAGGCGGCAACCTCACAAGAAGCCAATGGAGGATCTAAAGGAAGTCATCTCAGCCAAAAGTGCAAAGAAAGCTGATCCCTTAGGGTCCTCTTTGGCTTTTCAGGGGTAGGTCCTCATATGACCTATGTATATCAAACAGGATTCCTGGAGAAGTAGAAGCGTAAGCTTTCACCAGCATTGAGAAAGGAGATAGAGAAATAATATATATCACTTCACTTCTTGGATGACATTTAGATAATTGCAGTAGTATTGGCTCAGGTATCATCCTTCCCTGAGCATGGGAAGCGCAGTTGCCTATATATGAAATAAGTGGCTACACATTTGCTCCACTTTTTAGTCGATTGCCTTTGGTTTACATCAATAAATATTGTGCTTCCCTTGTAATCACACTCTTTAGCAAATTTGGCGTGTTCACATTTGTGATCCACTTAAAGGGCTTCAAACAGATAGGGTAGCAAGTTTTTTACTGTTAGCACCCTGCCCCTTTGTCTGTCGTGACCTTGAACACAATGGGTATTGCTGCATCAGTATGTCTCCTTAGCAGTAAAGCTAGACTAGTGTAGAGGAGGACTGTTGTGATTGTTATAATCACTCCCTTATTTGTCTCTCCATTAGCTTGCGCTGTGGAGATGATATGAACATGCTCCCTTGTCTATTGGGTGTTGCAGGTGTAGAGTTTGGGCTCTAATGCTGTCGCGTCCCACTCTTCTACCTGCTGCCCATCCTAGTGCAGGATGGGCGATGCTGTGTAGTGAAGTGAATGCACATCACATCATCAGATTGCACATCACTTTTTCATCTGTCGTCTGTTCCAATACTAGGAGTATGGAGTCGATATTGATGTGCCTCCCAGGTGGCACATAAAAAGAGGACTTAGTTAAAGAGATTGGGCATTTCACGCTACTGTGTCCCACTCTATTATCTGGTACCCTCCAGTGAACTGGATATAGAGACAGTTTCAGTATCCTTCATATTTTATATGGACAGAAAAAGGAAAGATGGGCAATTCCGCTGCTCGCGTTTCGCGCCTTTATCTGTCTGTTATTCCTGGTGACGGGAGTTTAGAGATGTTATCAATATGCTCCTATAACAGTTGGGCTGTCATTAAAAATGATCCCTCTGTGATCACGTCAAATAGACTAGACAGGACAGGTAGAGTGGGCAATACCGTAGAGCGCCTCACTTCCTCTTCTGTCGCCCTTCTATGGCATGGGGCTTGGAGAAGTACCAATATGCTTCTCGTTTAATCATTCATATTGGAAATGCCATTTTAGCACTTCCCTCCTAGTTGGAGGCTGCATCAGTCAGTTTCCTTATATGGATAGGCAGTACAGCAAGGAGAATAAGCTTTCAGATTTTGCGTCTGAATTTGTCACCCCTCCAGTCTATACCTGGAGATGATAGTGTGGACATTGTGGGGGCTATGAAAACACACTTCCAAATGGTTCCTGAGGAGTATCAGGACAGAGCATACTCTCAGTTGTTTGCTAGAACTGAAGAAATGGGAAACCATCAGCCAAACTATTTAACTCTGATATGTCAACAAAATGAAGCAAGAACCTCAGAGCCAGGGGTATAGACCAGTAAGGCTCAGGTGTGTCTGGGGTCCTGGCTGAGGGTGGTGCAGGGAGATTGGGCAGAGCCGACAGGGCAGGGAACAAGGGCAATCTGCCCAGGCAGATGGGGAAAATGGGTAGCTGAGGAGAATCGGGAGCCGAAGCAGCCAACAGGGAGGCATGTGCGGCCCCAGGCACACATAACTACAGCAATGTACAGGGAGAGGGTCGCCTCTTTGACTGTGACAGGACAGACAGGGAGAGCAGGCTGCTCAGGGACAGCCGCAGTGGCCATGGCAGGGAGCTCAAGGACCACCGGACTTGGGACCACCAGGGTTGGGTCCTCCAGGACCCCCGGAGTCGGGTCTTTCAGGACAACCGGAGTCGGGTCCTCCAGAACAACTGGATTAGAGGCCATTGGCCTATGGTCCTCCAAGACCACCGGCCTATGGTCCTCCAAGACCACCGGACTTGGTTGGGACCACCAGAGTCAGGTCCTCCAGGATCACTGGGCTTGGGGGAGCAACAGGAGCACTCCTTCTCCTGAGGTTGCGAGGACGAGAAGACATAGATGGCCGCCAGCAGAGAAGCTGCAAAGCACTTTGCATCCTTATGGAGTGATGCAGTGGTCTCGGGTGCCTCAGGGGAAGCTGCAGCATCTACGGGTGCATCTGGGGAAGCTGCAGTGTCTGCAGCAGTCTCTAGGAAGAGCTGCTGCATCTATGGCCACCTCTGGAGGAGCTGCAGCGTGGCTAGAGGTGGATTTGTTTCTCCTCCTCCTTCAGCAGAAGGTGGTTGGAGAAGTGGAGGTTTTACTGTCTGAAGTCACCATATGAGAGGGCACCTCTTGCTACAGTGCTGGCTTCCTCCCACTGCAGGTGAGAAACTCTACAAAACCCTCAAAAGACAGATGATCCATGCCTAATAACCTCCTAATTTTAATGGGCTCATCAAGGTCATAGTTAAATAAGTCCTTGAGAGCCACCTCATTGTAACCCAGCCTGAACTGAACCACATTCCTGAACTCCAGAGTAAATTCCCTCAGGCCAGTCCCTCGTTGATGGAGGGACCTTGACCATGCATAGGGAGAGGGGGCTGCAGGAAGTGGGGGCTGGTAGATAGAGCAACCTATTTTTCTGCGGAGTCCTCATGTTGGGCAGATCGCTCTGACACAGATTGGGGTGAAGGGATTAGGCCAGGACTCAAGAATGCAGAGATGGGCTTTAATTAAATCAAAAAACTAAATAAAACAAAACAAACAAAAACTACCCCGTGGGAGAAAACATGACCAGCTGAACAAGGCAAGATAAGGACAGGACATGGCAGGAAACAACAGGAAGCCAGTAAACATGGTCCACATTAGATGACGATCTACCACAGGACTGCAAACGCAAGGATAATGAATAGGGAAAGCAAACAAAGCAGGTAACGAGGGAGGACAGGTGGTGCAAATTAACAAATACTCAGATAACAAGAAGGGCGGGGTTTGAAAATAGACAGCAGAGCACATGGCACATAGAAACAAACATGACCAGCCATGTGCTCACACCAAACAAGTTAAACAACAAGAGCACATGGCCAGTGAACACAATCACAAGCCATGTGCTCAAACAAAACATGAAAAGAACATGCAGCTAATGAGAGCTCTCACCGACTGTGTCCACACAAAACATGACAACATGAAAGCACGCAGTCAATTAAACACACAAGCCGCATGCTACACAGCACAAGACAAAACATGACAACATGAAAGCACATGGCCAAACTAGGGATGGGCAAGAGTACTCGT